CTCTTTTTCTTTTTTTTCTTTTTTTTCTTTTTTTTCTTTTTCTTTTTTTTCTTCGTTTTGTTCTTTTTCTTTTTCCTTTTCTTTTTTTTCTTCTTTTTCTTTTTCTTTTTCTTTTTCTTGTGTTTGTTCTTCTTTTTGTTTTTTTATTTTTTCTTTTTGTTCTTCTGTTTCTTTTTCTTTTTGTTTTTCTTCTTTTTCTTCTTCTTCTGCTTCTTCTTCTTGTTGTATTTCTTTTTTTTCTTTTTCTTTTTCTTCTTCCTTAACATCTTTATTTGTATTTATATCTTGTATTTGTTTTATTTTATTTATTTTATTTTTATTTTCTTTTATAAACAGCTCCCTATACACCCCAAACGGCCATAGAGAAGGTAGCCGCTGTGCTGCAGCAGCAACTGGGTTAGGTATACGCAGCACCACAGACGCCTGCAGCAGCAGCAGCAGCAGCAGCAGCAGCAGCAGAAGCAGCAGCAGCAGCAGTTAAATAAATAAATAAATAAATAAATAAATAAATAAAATGGAAGAAAGCAAAAAATAAAATAAATAAATGAACCAGCAAACAAAAAAATGAATAAGTAAAACATAACATAACAAAATAAAATAAAATAAAAAAAATAAAACAAAACAAAGTAAAATAAAACAAAGCAAAACCAAACAAAACACAACACAACAAACCAAAACAAAACAAAAAAATAAAAAACAAAAAAAAAAAAAAATAAAATAAAATAAAAGTAAAGAACTAACCAATACATTTTCTCCCGCGGGCAGCCATCGCGACATAAAAAGTTTTAATATATTTTGTTTAGTTTCTTCATTTAGAGAAGAAAAAGAATAAATATAATTATTTTTATTTTTTTGTTTTTGTGTATATAAACATCTCTTTATCTCTTCCTGCATCTTCTCTATATTTTTTATTTTTATTATTTCACCAATACGAACCAATCTATTCAGTACCCTTTCAGGGGCCCCCATCTCCTCCCCCTCCCCTTTCTCTTTTTCTTTTTCTTTTTCTTTTTCTTCTTTCTCTCCATACACCGCAGCATAAACTTTATATAATAAATCCAACACCAGCTGCTCAGCAGCCCGCGGCTGCCCTTTAAAAAAAGGGGTATCAGAAACTTCTATAGAAAAAAATTCAGGGGGGCCCCCCCCCCTTCATATGCTGCTGGTGTGGGTGTTGTGCTTGGTGGTTTGTGTTTGGTTTTTTTAATGTATTTATCCCCCCAAAGAGAACGAATAAGTTTAGGGACAGAAGAAGGAGAGAGAGAAAGAAGAGGAGACAAATAAAGAAAAGCAAAAGAAGGAAGAGACAGACACCAGCCATGGAGAGAAGATGCAAATAATACGTTTCCTATACATACACAAAAAAAAATATAAATTTAATATAGAAATAAATAT